ATCCACTCACCTCAGCCTCCCAAAGGCACGGGATTACAGGCTAAGCCACCGAGCCCAGCTCCAAACAACTTTGTTAACAGCCTATCCTGAGAACCTGTGTCCTAGGCATCATCCCAGGTAACCGACAATCTAAAAAGACATGCTCTCAAAGAAAACAAAGTCAAGAAAGAGCATGTATCCTAGAGAAGGGGCTGTTGGAAGTTCCTGAATGAAAAGGGTCAAAGAAGAAAAAGAAAGCTTGGATCTGACTCATTTATAGTCAATTCCTCCTCACAAGGGGCAAAAACAATACACAGCAAGAATAGCATAGTGTAGAATACCTGCACTTAAATCATTCTGGCACAAATTCCACACAGGGCTGAGGACAGCCCACCCACATATAGCATACAAACCAGATCCCCTGTCTCTAGTCCCTCCCGCCTCTCAATTTTAGTCAAGTTTTCACAAAAAGTAATAAAGCATTCCCAGGAGACCTCTTAGAAAAGCCAAGGCCCATTTATAGGAAAATTCACCATGGCTGTCAAAGGTAAATTTTGAAAAGCAAGCATTGACCCAACCTAGAAAACCACCCTTATTTCTCAAGTCTGACAAACGCCACTGAAAAGTTCAAGACTAATGAGAAGAGAGCCCCTTTTCACCTCTAAATATCAGAATTATTATTCTCATGGCTCTGCCTAGTAAGCTAGATCTCTGGAAGCAATGAGCCTACAATTATTGTCCTGGCCCTATTAAGGACTTTGGCAAACAATCTGTCCATAGTAATTATGCAAAACTCCTTTGGGCACCCTCCCCTCTCCCTGAATGCTATCCTAAAGTCTGCTGTCAGAACTTCTTTGCATTATTGCACCAAAAATGCCATTCAGATAATCAATGCTTGAATTAATATTAGACAGAGACAGTTTGTACTTTGTAAGCTGCTCTACACCTTTTATAATCTTTAGTATACAAATGTAAGCAGCAGTCACCAATCGACCTCCTAAGCAACAAGAAGAGATTCACTGTGGCAGGCATTGCTATTCCTACTCCTCAGGAAGAAAGAAAAGGCAGGATACAACTTTCCTCCTAAACCCTCTTCCCTTCTTTTGGCCACTTCCTTGGTGGAGAGGTCAGAAAAGACTGTGTCTGTAGACCACGATGGAAGGAAGAGATCTGGCTCTACTGGGAGGAACGAGTTTCCCTCCTACTGTCCACAGGAACTGAACTCATTCAAAACACACTACACTTCCTTTTTGCTACCTCCATTTCATCTTCCAGGCACTGTTAAATTCCCTCCTATCTTACTTGTCAACAATCTTTATTCAAGTTCTTCCTCAATAAAAATATTTTAATGGTCTTTCTGTATCTAAGATTCTCCACCAAATAAAGCAAAGGAGAAATATGTTCTGTGTGGAAAATACTTAAAATGTCCAAGTAAAATATGAAATAGACCAAAGGTCTATATGTCAGACCACTCATAGTTCATATAGCACCAAAACAAGCCATTTGTTCTCTCTGAAAGACCTGCCATCCAAACTGATTATTCTATAATTTTATTCATTGATTAATTCATTTACTAATTCAGTACAAACTTCCTGAGTGCCTACTATGTGCCAGACATTGTTCTAGGCAAGCAGTATTATAATAAACATATGTAAGTAAAATGTATCATTTTTCAGAATTTTAATTTCAGGAGAATAATGTTAAGATTGAGAAGAAACTGTCATGGGTAATTGGTCTGCCAAAGCTGTGCTGATTCATGCTGCAAACTTTCATGGATGCAGTAATTATCCTTAATTGCTAATTTATAGAGCATAGAAAGCAAGTCAAATGGTTACTGCTTTAATCCAATTATATTAATAAAATGACATTCTAGAAAAACGATCTTAGAACTACCTGATACAGCAGGAGGTTTGTGAAACCAGCTGTCGCAATGAGTCAGTTTGATTGAGGTTATGGATTAGACATTTCTCAGTTCTGCCAATAAAGGTTGCAGAGGGATGTGGTGTGATTCAAAGGACCTGGCTTCAGGGCATAAGTCAGACAGTTACAAAGGCTGAAACAAGGCAGCTGAGAAGGAAAATGGGGACTCACGCTGTTCAAACCCACGTACAGGTTTACTGGGAGATTTACCTACAGTGAAGCACTTTAAGGGCAGCCACTAAAATGTTGCCCAGCAACAAGAATACCACATTAAATCTTCACTAGATTCTGATAAATGATTTGGTTTGTTTAACTCTTTAACTCCCAGGGTACCAACACAAGAAGAACAGAAAACACAAAAATCTAGCCATATTATACTTAGAACAAGAAAAGGATGTTAGAAAATTTCCTCAGCATGCCAACAAAGCCAGGATTTTTTCCAAGCCCAAGAACAAATATAATCTTGGCCTGAAAATGGCATCATATCAGTGCTGCAAGGA